TTTACATAGAGAGAGATTGATACCTCATGCTTTGGACCATCTACAGATGTATCTTCTGAGCGATGGCTAGGAACATCAAGAGTTGCAAGTACAGCTCTTTGTCTACTCCCACACATAAATAATATTTCAACCATACTATGTACCAATGCTCTGCAAAATCAAGCTCAATGTTAGCATTTGACATATAGTATCAAAATTTAATAAATAGCAGAAACAAGTGGGAACGGAAAAATATCTGGGTGAGATGCAGACAAGCACACAATATTCCCTTTTTGTATAAGTTTTCAAGTTTGTTTGATACAAACCTTCCATGCTTTGATACCATGATGGACAATCATATATGGCCTTTTACAAAGAAAATATTGCATAGAAAAATCTTCAAGCAAAATGTAACAGATGCAAGACTACTGAATCAGCACAGTGTTCATTTTACTAATATTTTGTCTCTTAGATAAATCAAGCACATTATATTTACAAGTCTAGTTCAAGGAGAAAATTTTGGAACCCGGAACCCCCTTCTGTCCAAAAAAGCAGGACATATACAACCAAAAACAACCTCCACACACATGCCTAAGTGAAACATATACTGCATGGAATGGTTTGTCTCAGGGTTAGAGGGCATTGGCCCCTTCCTGAATCATGATCGTTGCTTCACTACCTGTGTCTCTTTTTAGAGCCTCAGTGTGGGGATCTTCCAGTAAATATTATTACATGCCTAGTGATCTAATCTGTATTTTCACCATTGTATAAGTTGCATATGTTTTATGTCAGCCAATCACTTGTTTAGCGTATAGACAGACTTTGGAATAAAATGCGTCCAGAAAATATTCACATCAGTCCATCTCTTCTTTGGGTCTTTGAACAAAAATAAGCTCTTAGAACCCTGTGCTTTTTAAGTTTTTCAAACAAGGTGACTACTAAAAAAGGAATTTGTTAACCCTTATAATAACCTCATACGTCTAAATATAGGACATATATGATCTTAAAAGGTAAATGGACCCAATTAACAAAAAGAGTGGGAGGGGGAGGGAAGACAAATTATGTGCATGATGGTCAATCAAAAAGGAGAAGGATTGAAGGAGGTTTGATGGGTTTAAAGGAAGAGAAAGTTCTAGGACAATTAAGCCAGACAGAAAAAAAGATCACCAACAAAAAGGAGAAGGATTGAAGGAGGTTTGATGGGTTGTTTATGGGTTTTGATTTAGTGGACACATATGGTTAATAGTAAAATGAGACGTTAACATAATAACAGTTTGTTGAAAAATGTGTCTTTAAATTTTTTTTACTTGAATGATAGCACAAAGCAAGAGAAGCAATGCTAGTAAAAAACCAATTTCTTTCATTCAAATAAACCAGCCTACAACCTAAAAGATGAGATAAATACAGCCAGATCAAAGAATTTCCCAGGAAAGAATAATCACCTTGTCTTTTTATCTTCCGTTACAGAGGTCAAATCATCTTCCCTGGCATATGGACTTCGGTCATATCTCCCTATACCTAAACTTTGCAGTGACTTGTTACTCAAATCCTCTCGATCAAATAAAAGGTATTTGAGGATAAAGGCCTGCAGGACCAAAAATAAGAGCAAGAATGAATACGTAGTGGAAAATCACGGCAAAAGAGAAAACATCTAGTGGAAAATTAGAAAATTCATGAAAAGAATCTGAACAGACTCACAAATATCACACAGAAATCAAATACAAGGCATGATCAGCATTTGGACTCCCAAGGTACAGATGCACGCTAAATCACATAACTAAGGCGGATCAAATGAATAAAAGAATGCAAACGTTATGATAAGAGCGTGACATTAAGGCAACCGATGTGAGAATGTATCATTCAAACCAGAAAATCAGTTCCCAAAGAAATGCAGGAAATAAGTAATAACAAAAGTCAAAATGGCAAAAAGGAAATTTAAATGCAAAGCTGGAGTAATGGACACAGCATGCTAATCCCTAGAAGCAGGTGATGTTTTTGTAACAATGGGAAATGACCTTACCAAGCACCCACAACTAAAGATAAACCAAGTTGAATTGCACCAAAATCAAAATCAAAATGTAAAGCTTAGACCACATTCGCAAAACTAACTAAAAACAACTAAGCTACATAAGCAATTATGTCACAGGGTAATCCAAGCATTACGAAGAAAAGCTGATTACTTTTCTTTTCTGAATAGTACTATAAGTGGTTGAGGATCATGAATAATCACAGGCATGGTTATCTCAGCCCAAAAGATGCTTCATTGTGACCAACAAATGTAAAACACTACAAACAGCCAGCCTCCATTAAAGTACCTAAAGAGGTTTACATAAAGCTTTCTCGGGCTTAAGAATGTGTAGATATCATAAGAGAAATATAAACACATTTGTTTCTTAATTTGGAACAGATTATACCCAACCCAAGCAACTAAAATACAGAGATCAGCTGTCCGTCATATTCCATAAATCCCCATATAACAATGAGAATCTAAAGACAACCGGAGGAATTGACCAAAATGTCATGCAAATATAAATAATACAAAAGATTTCTATATACTTTGGTCATGCAAATATAAATAATACAAAAGATCTTTATATACATGCATAAACAGTATACAAATTATCCTAAACGAAGGTAATGAAGAGAAACCCAAAAAATTATATAGAATATTAGACTATATTTAAGTAAAACTATCAAGCATAGGATGCTACCTGTATGGTTGCCAAGACACCACAAGGGCCTCCCTCATGTTGCACTAAGCCCATATGTGTTTCTGGATCAGAGCTAAACCTACAAGTATGTAGACAAGGTATCAGTAGGACAGAGATAAACAAAGCGATGTTCCATTACATAACAAACTACTAAAAAGAAAAATTCATCCTAGAAGCATTGGGAAAACCAAAATTTCACCCTGTTATCTAACTAGGATAATTTCAACTGTGATAACGGAACTCAAATCGTGCAAAAGTCCTAAAATTATATACAAAAACAAGATATACAATTCATGTTGAGGAACAACAAGTAAAGAAGGCATGATGTACAAACGCAAGAATTCTTAACATGGTGAAGAAGTGAAGATATAGACCCAACACAACTTTATATTCTTGGTAACAATGTTACCAAAAAGCATGGTATTTAAGTTTTATGCTTCATTCACTTAAGAAGGTGAGGTGATTTTAATGTAACAACTAAACACTCATGTCTCTGCTATGATCTGCATCCTCTATGGTAAAAGCAAAAATGTCTATATCAGTTGCTTCTAAGGTCATAGAGTGAAAGAAACATGCATAAGAGAGGCAATAAAAACATGTAAGATTGTGTTTGTATTAGTTATAAGCTACAATGTGATTTTTCAAAATTTATGGCCAAGTTAGAATCCGAATTTATTATCATAGTTCAAGCCTGACTAAAAACCAACTTTGTGACGCTATATTTCTGACTCTAAATGCACAGTTTTTCGGCATGAGAGCTCTGGTGTTAAAATTGTCCAACATACACACCGCAGAATCTACAAGTTTAACGCTTATTATCGTAAAGTGACTTCTGTATACTTTAGGCTCGTTGGAAAATGAAAATTACTGATTAATAGCGAGCTACCGACTAAGAAATCTAGAGGGAAAAAAAAAACTTAAAATTTGAACATAGAAATATATAAGAAATTATACCTAATCCCCTGATTACTCCATTGCGCAAGAATTTGTTTGGACACCCCGCTCCCAAACGCCATCGAGAACAACTGATCCACGACCTCAGGCGCCAGCTCCTCCCCCAATTCAAAATCCCTACTTTCCTTCTCAACCTTCTCAATTTTATCCACCTCCATATTTTGAGGACCAACAACAGCCTCCTCCTTAACCCTAGCCTCCTCATCTCTCGAAACCGCAACCTTCCTAGTACCAGCCTCAGCCCTCGACTTCGCCGGGCTCGAGATCGCGG